GAATTCGAGTTATGGTAGTGGGAGCGGGGAGGAAACATTTAGGAACTAGAGGAAAGTTGTATTTCTCATCATTGTTACATCGCACCCTGACTGGCAATGTTCAGATTGAGTTATTTGTACTGGCTGTCTTCAAGTTTGCATCTATTATATTGCTATCATTTATTTGGAGTTTTATAATTTCCATTTGGGGTGAGATTTTATATATCTTCATTTTTTTTCAAGAGAATTTGTAATCATGCATTGAAACATTTTAATGACTGCTGCTTTAAGTCTATGTTAGATGTTTCTATCATCAGATTCATTATCTTGTATTGCTGCCTGTTGATCATCTTTTCTCATTAAGTTCTGATTTTCCTGGTTGTTGAAAACACAGATCAAGAGAAAATGTACTAATTATCTATTTAACTAAAGCTAATTAATGAAAGATAGGAAAGATAACAACATGTTTTCCTGCAATGGTAACATGAGTAGGAAGAAGAGGCTCGCTGCTATCACATGAATTTGCTAGGTGCTCACAATACTAACTGTAATACTAATAGTAATATGAATTTTAATTTTTTTGGCTGGCTACAGTTGCATGCATACCATAGTTCATGTAAAAAACAACATTTCAAAGAGGTAAAAGTGGGAAATGCACTTCAGAAACTGGAACTAGGATGAGACTAATAATTTCTTAGAAGTAAGATATTATGGCATCTTTGGTTGGTAATAGTTTTGTGACAGAATGTCTGGTCTCTCGATATCTCAACCCATAGCTTGTGTTCAATTAGGACTCTAGCTGAGAATATTTTCACCATCAAATTGCAGCTGAAATAATTCAGGGAGAACCACCATGATTCAAAGGACTTTATAACCCCAATATCAACTGCAAATGAGTCATATTCCTCTGTTAACTAATTTTGGACATACTGTCAGGAGCTATCAAGCTCTGGAGGATGAAATCTGGTTTGGTGAAGGAGAGGAGCAGTGAAAAAGAGGAAGGCCCTTTACAAGATGGATTAACATAGTGGCTGCATCAGTGAGCTTCAACATTACACTTGTGAAAAGGTGCAGGACCTGGCAGTGCTTCATCCTGCCGTACATTGGTCGTTATGAGTCAGAACCAGTGGAAAGCACCTAACAACAAGA